GATTGCACACACTGCAGGAATATCAGTATGAATATGAGGTGTGCGTGTCCATTCTTCTCAAGTCTGATTTTGTGGATCTGCAGTCCAGGAGGATAAATTATTGTGTGAGAAAATGTGTATTGCTTCTCTTGTGGGATTGATGCTTTGGTGTCGAGGGCAACGAGATGGCATCGCGAGACACTGAATGTGTGTCTGCCAGTTTGTTGGAGTGCTGAGGTGCAGTGTAACCAGTGTGGGAGAGAGTCTGTCAGAAAGAAGGAGGGAACAGGGGAGCATGGGTGTGTCGACACAGCCTCTAGTGCTGGGAATTCTGTGTCGGTTGTCCATTTTGGATGCTGCCGTTATTCTGTTCCTCCTCTTCCTCTTCCTCTTCTTCCTCCTCCTCTTCACTGACCAGAAACTCCTCTGGAGGCCAGCGAAGCTCCCCGCTCTCGACTTCTCCCTCCGTCGGCTCGACCACGATGGATGGCAGACGATCCTTGAGCTTACAGCAGCGGTCAAAGTCTGAGGGGTCGGGGAATATCTGAAGACCAAAGACAAAAACAGAAATCTGGTTATTAACCTTCCATTAACCTCAAGAGTTAATACAATTTGTTATCTGAACTGCAGACAGTGGCGGCCCCAAGGGGGAGCCACAGTGGGCCACGGCCACCCTGATACAATTGCTGGCCACCTCTGCAAGAATAATTGGAGGCCGACATTACTCACAGAGGCTGTGTCACACTCATATTTGAAGCTAGCAGGAACATAGTGGTATCTTGTGAAAGCCAACAACCTAAGGCATCCATTGGCACCAGCCATGTTGGCATATCTTGTTGGTAAGGGGGCTAAATAATGCTCCAAAGTTGAGCTACATTTTGGCGAGAGAACAACATAGCCATTATCAAAGGGGTCCCTTGGGTTAGATGGGTACCTACGAGATTGCTAATAATTGGAGGCCTACACTACACTTTAAGAGGCTGTGTCACACTTATTTTTTAAGCTAGTGAGAACATAGTGGTATCATGTGAAACTAAACAACCTAAGGCATCCATTGGTACCAGCCATGTTGACATAGCTTGTTGGAAAGGGGGCTAAATAACACTCCAAATTTAGGCTAGATTTTGGCGAGGTAACTTGGCCATATCAAAAGGGGTCCCTTGGGTTGAATGGGTACCTACGAGTTTGTTAATATTTGTAGACCTATATTACTAAGGTTGTACCACACTCATTTTTTAAGCTAGCAAGAACATAGTGGTATCTTGTGAAACTAAACAACCTAAGGCATCCAATGGTACCAGCCATGTTGGCACAACTTGCTGATAAGAGGGCGAAATAATGCTCCAAAGTTAGGCTACACTTTGGCGAGGGAACAACTAGGCAATTTTGAAAGGGGTCCCTTGAACTCTCACATCAAGATATCTGAATGAAAATGGGTTCGATGGGTACCCACAAGTTTTGCTAAACTCTAAAGGGCTTGTTCCCAGCAAATGTTTGGTTCCTTCGAATTGATCTACTCTTTCAAATTAAAGCTCTATATTTGTCTTTTGAAGCAAAAGGACGACCAGCCTATTTGAAGAACAATACATCACTTATCAGATATATAACACATTAAAACAGGATTGTTGGGGAACTCAAAGGGTTAATTGCACGAGTATTAGTCTATGCACATTAGATATTTAGTAACATTAGACACCAGAGTATCTGTATGCGTTACCTTAACTCTCTATATGACATTTTTTAACTAGCCTACTTCAACAGCATAAGCAAAATCCTGAAATTCAATGACTTTTGGTGTGCCACCCCAAGATTTTCAGTCGCCCCCATCTGGCCACCCCAATGACAAATATCTGGGGGTGCCACTGACTGTACAGCAGGCGCTCTCTCAGGTCAGCTGTCCCCTGTTGTATGGCCAAAAATGATTTGTGAGCATATTTCTGATCAGTGCTAAGTGTGCGGTAGCCTCTGGGACACCAGAACTTAGTCCTGAGCCTCGTAGAAGTGTTGCAGGCACCGCTACAAGGCTAAACAACTGTGAAGGAAGTGATGTGAAGACTAAACATCTGTGATGGGAAGTGGTTGCTTAAAATCCCAGTGGCATACCTGCTCTTGCCCAGCCCACATTCCTCTAACAGCCAAGCGAGCGTTCCACATAGGTGCACTGCTCACCCGAAAAACAAACTGCACAAGAAACTGTTACATCAGTGACTGTGTACGGCTAAATGAGGCATGTCTAGTGAGACTTACGGTAAATGCTGCATCATGTTTAATCTAAATGCTTTGGAAGGCATTGTGCCAAGCAGCTCGTAGCTGCTTACAAACTCATCCAGCACCACATCAGCCACTACTCGGAAGATTATACAAGAGCATAATCAGAGCATTTCAAATCAATGGTAAAAACACAAAGGTGAAAGGTTTACTGGGACATGATTTGTGTGTAAATAAAACATCCATCCCTATAACAGTCAGTATTTAGTGTTGAATACTTTATGTTCCTGCCGAGATGGAGTTGGAAGAAAAGGTTTAGGAAAGAACACGAAATCGGCCACGTTATCTGCAAATCCTGACTGATATGTCTGCTTATAAACACAGCGTGCCACACTCAAATATTTGGATCTAAACTGAAGGGCATGAGAGACGTCCTGACAAGAGAGATTACATGCATTCCATGTCCTGGCAAGATTGGACATCAACATCAGACTTTCTCTGTTCTCAGGAACCAGAGAAATTGCCCAGGGGAAAAAGCCTGCCACTCCTGGTCCAAGAACAGCATTTTTTTGCTGTTGTTTGGATAAAGTGGATGAATATTTTTAGACCTGCATATTTCACTCCAAGACATTAGAGGGGAGGGAGCAATGTCGCTGTCTGGGCAGAGAGCCGAGTGGAAAGAAAGCATTAGATGAGGCAGGAGAGAGACTGAGATGAGAAGAGAGGGGGAAGAGATAGAGGGGATCCAGCTGTGTCAAAGTCTCCATGAATTCCATAGGAGACAGATGAGGAGGGAGGAAAAAGACAAAAAGCTATAAATACGTCTTGTGAATGTGAGAATTTGTCAGGTTATGAGCGTGTGTATTTCTACAGCTTTTACATTCTCCAAAAACAGCTGCGTGCAGAGCCTCGCCAAGAGGTGCGATTATATGCGGGTGTGTGCATGTCTGCTCACGTCTAATGCCTGCGTGTATCTCCATTTCCTGGCCTGCATCACCAATCCTCACTGTGCGTCAGCACCAAAGGGAGTTAGGCAGCACACGACCTTGCCTTTGGACCCCTAGCTAACACATGTCATAACTTGTTTCTTTTCCAGTGGCAGGAAGAGACGACACATCATCGGCCAGGCACAATGCTGGCTATTTTGGGATCTTCTGGGGTGTGCGGTGGGCGCACACTGAATCATGACATTGCCTTTTGAGATGATAATTCGGGAAATCAGTGACTATTTGCTCATCCTTCTCCACAAGTAGGTCACATTCATTCCAGTACCTTTTATAGGTGCAGCTGGAATTTTATGGTCACACAATTCGTGTCAAAGCCCGCGGCACTCATAATGGAGGAAGTGACTAGTGGCGACATCACCGCTTCATACATAGCTTCTCTAAGGAGTGGCTGGGACCTTGGGCAAATGGCCGAGGTGAGGAAATACAGAATGGGGATGGAAAGGGTGGAGAAGTGGCAGCCTCCTTTTTCTGCACTTTCCCCCCCTCTCATCCGCTCCTCTCATCCTCTCAGACAGACTCACAGCTGGGGTGTGAAATGTGGGGAGAGGAAGCCAGCCTTTTCCTCTGGGTCAGTCTACATCCCCTCAGAGTCAACAATGTCTACATGTAGCATGGCATGAGGCGAGTGCATTAAGTTCATAAAAATGTATGAATATGTACTTGTCATAAAAATAAGTTCTGTCAATCTTGTACCAAATTCTCTTTAAACAGGAAGTGGCCTTTTAGCCCTGTGAGTTTTAAAAGTGTCAGCAGGTGGAACTTACAACACCAGTGGTTAACTCACCATTTAAGATGCTGTTTCACTAACCATTAGGACAACTTCCTGTCCAAAAATCATAAATAGTCTCCACTCAGTTTCCCCATCTTTTACAGTAACACGGTATAAATATTAACACAGAGCTCTTTAATTCTTTTTTTACCCTTGGTACCAATGTGACACTAAAATAAGCGAGCAGCTGTGTGTTTAAGTAGTTTCCAACACGGCCCTGTTGAGCTGACAGTAAAACAAAGCTGCTGGCAACACCTTGTCAAGACCACCTGATGGCTGCTTCTCTCATCTCTCTGAATCTGTGCCGTTTATCTTTGTGACAGGCTACAGTAAATTAAACACTATTTCCCCACACGTACATTTCCTTTGTATGTTTTAAGTTGTGACCGACAGTAACCTCTGACCGACATCAGAGAATGAAAAAAAGGGATGTGGGCTTTTAGTTATCTCGTGTTTAAAATTACAAGTTACTGTCCTGACCTAATTACTCAAACTTATCAGAGTGATCTGTAAATCACCTTTATTTTTAAAATTATCTGGCTTAAGAGACAACTCTCCTTTTATATTAAATATAGATTTTAAAACCTACTAAAAATTAGATTATTTAGACATTTCAGTTTTAATCCCTTTGTTTACCAGACCCCGAATGTTTTGTTATGTTTACTTATTCCCATTTTATTTATTTATTATGCAAATGAATATATTTTCACATTGTTTTTATATTATAAAGTATATTTTCTAAAACTTTTATGATTAAAAATCTGGAACATACTCCATGTAATGACTGTACTCAATAGAGATGAACCAATTTAAAAAAAATCTTTATGCTATTATGTTTCAATGACTATTTATGTTAGCTTGTTAATGGCTAACAGGTCAACAGTCAAACTGTTCCAAAATGTATTTTTATACAAAGACATTTTTAGCTTAGCCAGGGGTTTGTAAATTAAACAATAGAAAAACCTATTTAACCCCTATTTAATTTCAAATTATTTGCTTTTATCCACTATATTGACATTTCTACTGTCTCATAACAGATGCAGCTGCTGCTCCCTCCTGTTCACGCTGATCTCAGTCCAGTTCATGCAAATGAATGGATGAGGACAGGTTTAAAAGGACCATTCCACATAAAAATGTACGGACAGGGACAGAAGTGGGGCAGAAGTGGTGTCATACATGTGCGTGTGTGTCCTACCTGAAAGGAGAGTCTGTCCTTGCTGGGGCTGAGCCTCATGTCCTCCATGGGGGTGCTGTTGATGATCACCTCAGTCATATCTCGGCTGGGCACAAACACTGGGCTGCAGAGGGCGAAAGAAGAACAGAAAGTCGTGTGATTAGATACCATGCAAAGGTGATAGTCGTCTATTATTGTCATTTTTCCATTGAATAAGCTCTGGTTATTGAACTGGTTCTGTTCAGGATTCTTAAAACCTTGGTGCTATTAAATAGTAGACGCATAACCTGCCGGCTTTGTTCTGTCATTACTGATATTTCTCATTTCTATTCTCAGTCCCATTTCTCATGACTTCTCTATTGTTGCCTTCATGCTCTCTTTCCAGTCTGTGGAATATCACACCACCACTGATGTCGTCACGGTTCACACTTAGGTCAAGAAAACCTGCTATTTTTTGGTTCCAGCTGAGAACCAACTTTTCTGAAGTGGTTCTGAAACCAATTTATTTTCAAAATTAAGTGTGAGAGCTGGATTGGAACCGGTGACATGTTGGAGTAAAATGTGTGAACTAGCCTAACAGCCCAAGACACAGTGTGTATACCTCTAGAAAGGTTCATAGTTCATTGTTAAACAATTGTACAATAAAAATAAAAGTGGTCCCTGTTTGTTAAGTACAAGGGACAGTCAGGTTGTGTACATTTGGGACGAAGAGACACTAAAACGATCAATAATGGCATGTGAAAAAAGCAGAACAACTGTTCATACACACAGCCAGAGTCTGAAAGTCATAGCTGTTTACCTGCACGTCATACAGTTTTGTTTATAATCTGTGCATCTTGACCACAACACACTGAGCATCCAGTGCGCTCTCCGTTCTGCTGTGCTAGTGCACTGCAAAGCTGCACAGCTCATGATGTGGCTTGCATAAGGTGGCCGTTTCTAAATACAGGATGATGTGCTGTTGCACTAGCAACCAGAGAACACAGTCATTGTGAGAGTGTGCTGGGGGCGTGCTGTGGTATTTGACTGGGGTGGAACTCGATGCACTCAGTTCCATCAAAGCGTGGCCAAACTTTCCATTTTAGATTAAAGTAACAAGAGCTTGTTTATCCATGTTCGGTGCATTCTCTATCCACTATTGTCGTAGTGAAGTTTTAAAAAAAAATGACTCCGAGCAGGTCCCAGGACCGACAGACGGCGTCTTGAGACAAGATGCTCAGCGGCCTTCTCACGCTCTCTATTTAAAGCCCAGTGCCTTGTGGTCAGTGGCCACAGGCCTGTGGTTTGTGTGGTCACTGGCTATATGGAACAAAGAAAACAGAACACACAGAGAGGCTCACTCACATCCTCACATATCTGGTTCAATGGACCTGGGTCTTTTTGGGGAAGAGATGTGTGGGCTTCGCTTGACCTACTTTGAATCTCAAATAAAAATGTTTATTTTTGGAAACAGTGGAACGGTAAAAAATTATACCGTGGTAGTGATTTAAGCATGGTTTTAAAATAAGAGCGATTATGCAAACATCTGTTCCACTAAATTAATTTGGTCCATTCACCACCGTCTTATTCATCTATCAGAACACCCTGGCTTCAAAGTCTGTTAGATAACAGCAGAAAATATTGAATCATTTCAGTGTTACACAAACAGAGGTCCTCTTAAAAATAAACACAATCTGCAATTAAGATATGAAACAGTCTCTGGAGTTTCTGACTAAAGCACAGTTATTTATTTTGGTCTGCATTTATGACTCAAACAAAACTGAGAACGCTCATCAACGCTCCTCATGAAGATATCTATAAATATCAATGTTTACTGGCACATGAATCATAAATGAAAGATGTATTATTGTTTTTGGCAAACTCATAATTCACAAGAAATTCAGCTTTTACATCAGCAAACAGTGCTGCACAAATAAAACCTTCACAAATTAGGTTTCAGTTTTGTTCAGCTTTGAGTTCTTAATGTGCACATTTATTGTTGCATTTATGTTTTGTACTTTCTCTTGAGTATTTGTTGTGGAGTTCTGTGAATTCGAAGGCCCATCCAGGGACTGAGCATTGCAGATAAGCTTGAGCTATAAATGCTGTGGTGTTACTGCATCAGTTAATCATACTTGTTCCTTTACAAATTAACATTTAGAGTTGTTCCGATACAGACGCTAGTACCAGAAATGCCATACAATACTGCCTAAAATGTTGGCTCCAGTATCAGCGAGTATGCAAGTCTACGCACTCATCACATGATTGATTAAACTTTAAAGTAGATTCACACCCAAATGAAACAGCAGTTTTCTTCAACATTAACTTGTCTTCACCACTCTAAAAAAGTAGCGCTGTTTGGCCACTGGCAACTGTTTTTTTTTTATAGCGGCGAAGAAATTTTTTTCCCTTTAAATCGTGCAATACTGGCGATATTTTACACTAGCATTCATTCTCTGTATGTAATGCCATACAACAATGGTAGAAACCATTTCACATCCATTCAAAGTTAGGAGTATCTGGCTGTTAATAATGCAGTGGTATTGGATTGGTACTTAGTCGTGTGGTGGGAAAAAAGAAAAAAACGATACAGCATAGTATCGCGATATTTTTGTGTGGCAATATATCGTCACACGGTGCCAAGTATCAATTAAATTAAACTTTAGATAGCCTACTAGAATGTTATTATCAATTGCTTTTTCTGTCCACTAGATACATTTTGCTGCAAAAAAAATGGCTGAGGTGAGATGAATGACTGACTTTATCTCAAACCCAAAAAACAAAACAAACAAACAAAAAAAAAACAAGACAAAGATAACAACATCCGAAATGGAATAGGTAGAAGTAAAACGTATGTTGACTGAAAACTCTTATTAGATAAAACAGACAATTAAGTTTTCCTAGTATCGCAATAGCATATTGCAACAAATTTAAAAAAAATAAATAAATTAAAAAAAAAAAAAAAAAAAAAAAAAATTCGCAATAATATTTTATCATGACTCAAGTATCGTGATATATCGTATCATGGATCCTCTGGTAATTCCCACTCCTAGTACTCAGTATCATCAGTACCCAGGTCCAGGTTTTGGAATCCATATCGGGAAGGAAAGAGTGGTATTGAAACATCTCTGTAAACATTAAAATAAAAAATAAAGTGAGACTTAGTCATTTGTTGACAGAACTCACTCATCATCCCAGAAACACAAACTTGAATTCATAAGCAAACAGCTCTGGTATAACCAGTTTCGTATTGACATAGATAGTTTGCTGACTTTAAAGACTCTAACTTGTGCTGCACATTTCAGCATTTAACATCATGCTCAAATAGCTACAAGAGACATTATTTAGCAAAGGTACTGTCTAACTTTGAAACTCAACAACAAGAATAAAATAATTCCCCCTGCTTATTGATTTCTGATAAAGCCTGTAGGATATCAAGGCTTCCATATTGTGCATCTACAACTTTTGAAGCACTGTCCTGTTCTACAACACACACTGCAGTCTTCATGTAGACTAAATAAGAAGCAGGTTAAACCCAAAGTCATCCTGAGGAGGAGAGAAATGTGTGCCATGAGTCACCCAGAGCCAGGAGATCATTAACCCCTAAAGCAATGGCATATATCAATCACTTTTTCCAGCCCTGCCTTCACACACACACCCCTCGTCTCTTTCATGAGGAAACACTGACATCACAGCAGGGTGTCAGGGCGGCTCTAAAAATTAGAAAATTTAAAAGCTTCTGGCCGAACCGCCATAAAGTAACCTTTACTGCACCAGTCAGACGACACGGCACACTTGGCTCAAACAATACCCGGATATCCAAAAATAAAAAAAAAGGAGGGCTCGAAGGATACACAAGGTTTAACATGGAAAAACTAATGTCAGCTGGGGCTGCTCTCATCTTCGAGTGGGATGCAGAGAGGGTGAGGCAGGCATGCAAAAAAGCAGTGGAGGTGGGGACGGAGGGGCTGAGCGGTGACAGTGAAGACCTGAGCAGAGCAGGAGAGGGAGGGAAGGGAAAGAAAGATAAACACTCGAGCCTTGCCAGTCATATTTCTGTTCGGGGATCGTATAAACATCCTGCTCGGCTAAGAATAACAGAACATCGGCCTAATAAAACATAAAGGGGCACAATGAGGAGGAAGTGGGGGTGCACGAGCAACAAGTCAACCTGGGAGGAAACAAACACATGCAGCCACATCTATTAGTGCCTCAAGTGTCAGGCGGAACAGCTCAACAGTGCGCCACTCTCACACAGTGGAATACTTGATTCCTAGAGAGGAGGCGTTAACTGCTCTGTAAGTAACCAGCCTGTAGCATGTATGACATAAGATAAGCATACGCCCAGGAGCACACATTTGGGAGTCACACGGCCTTTATTGATTACCGTGTGAGGCTGTAAGACAGTGAACCTCTTTACCTCCTGACCCAGTCGAGATAATGCAAACCTGATCCTGCCAGCGTCCTAATGCCACATCCAGCCACAGCACAGATGGACGGCAATATGTTCAAGACATTGTCAGTCTTGTTCGGTGTTTCCAGAACACATATCGGAAGGATTATCAGGGCTGAAACCATTTGTTGATTCGGTGATAGGGACAGAAAATGTATCAGGAAAAATGCGTAAAAATCAAATATGCCAAATAGAGCTGGACAATATATCCATCATTTATGGATATCGTGACACGAGACAGGTATCGTCTTAGATTTTGGATCCTGTAGTATCCAAATTATTGTCTTTTTCCTAGTTTAAAAGGCTGCATTACATTAAAGTGATGCAGTTTTTTAAACTTACTGGACTGTTCTGCCGTTGCTTTTACCCACTTAGTCATTATATCCACATTACGTGGGGTTTTGTGAGTGGACCCCAGGAAGACTAGCGACCACTTTGTGGAAGCTAATGGGAATCTGAATGAAGAATAAAGAATTGCTGATGATTATTATGCCAAAATGTCACCAGTTCCAGCTTCTAAAATGTGAATAGTTGGTGTTTTTTAAGGCTGTGATAGCAAATTTAATA